AAAAAAAAATAAAAAAATAAAAAATTAAAAAAAATAAAAATAAAAAATTCAAATTCCGTACGGACTCGCCGATTCCGTACAGTGAATCGGCGATTCACTGTACAGAATCGTCCGGTTCTCTCTAGAACCAGACGATTTCCGATTTTTTAGGCGATCCGGTCCCCTTTTCACGATTTCCGAGTCGAACCGGGCGAGTCCGGTTCGACTCGGCGTTTTTTAAAACACTGGTTTCTCTTATAAGCTTTGTTACTTGGACACACGCAGACACAGGTTCAGACACAAATACAGCTATTTGAGTTGGATGTATCGTGAGGGTTAGATGTGGCAATTAAACTTGAACATACAAATCTTTATGATTGTTATTTTATAATAACAACATAAATCTTAACAGGTAGGATTAAGTAGATCATATTTGTTATATGTAAATGTAGTTGATGCAATAGCAGACCAGACAAATCCAACATAACATGGGTGCGATTTGTATGGTGTCGAGGCTCTGACAATGAATTTAAAGCCTACCATCAAATAGTATCAAGAAATATAATTTCAATGTTGAAAATCTTTATAATAGCGTTAAAATACATTTTTAATTTTAATTATAAAATTTAAGGCTTAAAAAATAGTGTAGAACGAGCATATCTACGAAAACTTCAAAATCTTGAAAATTGATGGTTCAAAAATGCGTTACAAGATGCATTATTTTCAAAAATTGAAATCCATTTTTTTCTCATATCTATTCATTTTCATGTCAAGATGATCAATTTGAAGACATTTGGACATAAAAACAACCTCTTCTAGTGAATTTTTTAGGTGAGCTCTAATTTTTTGATTGTTTAGAGTCTATATAAACTTTTTCCATATAAATACTTGTTCAACTTCAGTTTTGCCCTATAAATTTTTTTGAAAAATATACAATAAGACCACCTATATATTTGGCACACTAAGAGCACATTAATCTTGACTATTGAATTTGAAGTTGGATGGTTGCATTTCTTCTTTTGATAATACTCAAAGATCGAAACAAAATCAAGAACCATGTCTACTTCCACCACTTTGAGCATGGGTGAAAAAAATGTGGAGGAACGCGGTTACAATTTACAACAATGTTAGGCCTTGCTTGCTCTAATATATACCCCCCATGTACCTAAGATATGAACTATTTAAATTTACAATGCTCTTGGGGGAGCATACTATACATGTACTTCATCAAGCATAAGCTTAGGAAAATTTTTTCATCACAAATTTAGGGAAATACCTAATAATTAAAAGATGGTTATTTTAGATACGGACCCTAAAATTTTAGGTAAAATACAAAATGCTCTTCTTATGGGCGGAAATTATGCAGAAGATCGGTCAACCCATCTTTTTTATTTTTTCAAAATTGCCACTCAATCAACCCTAATTTTGATTTATTTTTATTTTTAGTTTTTTCGTTAGTAGACCAGTGCTTTAAAGGTTGGGGCACTACCCTACTAATGAAAAAACTAAAAAAAAAAATTAAAAATTTGGGTTGACAAAAAGGTGATTTTGAAAAAAAAATAAAAAAAATGAATTTATTGACCTTCTTTGTAATTTCTGCCGATAGTATATTGTATTTGACCTAAAATTTTAGAATTTATACGTAAATCACTCTTATTTTAAAAAAAAAATGGATTTTGAACTCTCTAACATTAAATCCACCCTCTGCGAATTGGACTGTCTATGTTCAATCCTGACGTATAATCTTTCTCAAGTACATAGAGGCTGTGATTTTGATTTTTTTATTTTATTTTCCCTTGAAATTACTCTTGAAGATGTTAAATCACCAAAAATCGAGGTCCTAAATACTCCAAAACTAAGTTTTACTCAATAGAGTAAACAGATCGTATACTCCGGACTACAAAATCCTTTAGCCTAAAAGTTACCCGTCTTTTAAGATAGCATCAAATTTTTGCCGACCAAATAAAATGAACAATTTGAGTTCATGCCACCATACTTCTACAATAAAAATTGCAACCTTATATGATATATAATGGGCAGATTCAAATGTTTCCACCATTTTTGCTAAAGACAGGGGCTATTGAGGTCATTTTGCGTTGGAGTCAGCACCAGCACTAGCCGCCACCATTGGAGTCTTCCAACTTTTTGGCAGAGGACCACTACCGAGATTTTCAAGCTTTGATTTATGGTGGTTTGTTTTGGAGTTCATTAGAATTCATAAACTTGCTATGGAGAGAGTAGGATGACAATCCCCTGGGAAATTTATTTAAAAAATACGTATAATCCAATATGATTTATTTTATTGTGATCATGACTATTATATCAATTTCCTTATTCATATCTATGAGACTGGATTTTTCCGGAGGATTGTATATCCAATTGGATAGCTTGAGGTATGTCATGAAATTTTAAAAAAAAATTATTGGGCTTTGGCTTTAGTTACAAGTATATTATAATGATTTGATTTGAAATTTAATGGACAAAAATGGTTACGACCTCCTTGTACTGTAAATTATAAGTAAATGGCCTCTTTCTATGCTTTTCCTTTTACATGGCTGGTTTTCCGGTTGAGAAAGCCAGAGAGAAAGATGCCATTACGTAAGTTAGAGAGATGGATATCATGGAACTCATCCTTCCTCATCTGTATCCAAAACTGTCTCCAAACAATCTTGCAACTTTATTTGTCTCCCCAGATCATTCAACATCAAGTATACCTCTTTTGAGCAAGGGTGTGTCCTATCATGAGCAATGAATCTATGAATGGCCCCATCAACCTCAACAGAGCTAAACCCTGGCACCTTCTTCACCCCCCTCATCTCCATCATCTCTCGGGCCTTCCGGGCCTCGTCCCACCGGCTCGCAGCCGCATAAACATTCGACAAGCCAATGTATCGCCCATCGTGGTTGGGCTCTAACTCTATAAGCCTCTTCCCCACTCTTTCTCCTAAGCCAACATAGCCATGCATCTTACAAGCACTTAGCAATGCACCAAGCATTGAACTTGTTGGCTCAAAAGGCATAGAACTTATGAATTCATATGCCTCCATGACCTTCCCAGCTCTCCCCAAAAGATCAACCATGCAAGCACAGTGCTCAACCTTAGCACTCATTCCTCTCTCACTAAGAGCATTGAAGAACCTCCACCCATCTTCAACAAAGCCACCATGAGTGCAAGCACATAGCAATCCAAGGTAAGTTATTTCATCTGGCCTCACCCCAGCTCTCTCCATCTCTCCGAAGAGGCCTAGTGCTTTCTCACTCATCCCATTCATGGCCATCCCATTGATCACGGCGTTCCACGTGAGCAGATCGGCATTAGGCACCACGCGGAACACTCGCAAGGCCTCATTCGGTGCCCCGCACTTTGCATACATGTCCACCAAGGCAGTGCCCAACACCACATTGAGCTTGAAGCCATGGTCACCAATGTATGTGTGCATTGCAGTGCCTGTGGCTAGAGCACCAAGATGTGCACATGCACCCAACGCACTAACTATGGTCACATCGTTTGCTCTCACATTTGAGGCTTGCATCCTATCGAACACAGATAGGGCCTCTCTGTACTCTCCGGCATGGACGAGCCCATCTATCATGGCGCTCCACGTGACTATATCATGCTCGGTCATTACCGCAAACAATGCCTTTGCTTCCTGTATCTTCCCACACTTAGCATACCCATCCAGCATGGTGTTAAAAGAGACCAATGTTCTTTGAGGCATTTCATCGAACACTTTTCGAGCCGGCCAAATGGCCTGGCATGATGCATACATGTGCACAAGAGAATTGGACACAAACGCATCAAATTCTAAGCCGTATTTGATCACTTGAGAATGCAGGACCTCTCCTTGATGAACCCATTGAAGGTGGGAGCAAGCTTTGATGAGAAAAGGGTACGTGTAATGGTCGGGGGCGACGCCTCTTTGAAGCATTATAGCAAATGTAGAGAGAGAAAGCCTTGGTGTTTTGCTTTTGGAGTAGGCTCTGATGATGGTGTTGTAAATGTGAAGAGAAGGCTGGTCTATGCTTTCGAAGAGGCGGCTCGCATGGCCGAGATCGCCAGAGGGAGAGAGAGCACAGAAAGTGATGAGTTGCTGGGCAGAGAGAGAGTCTTGAGAGAGGCCCGAGGTAATGATTTGGGCGTGAAGTAGTTTGAAATCTCTCATGGAATTGCAGAGATGGAGTAGAGAGAAAATTGGGTGGGCGCAAATGGTTGGTCTCGTGGCAGTTGGGAGCATAACTATTCCATTACATCTACCTGTTTTCTTTCTCCTCGTTCTTAGAGGAAGAGAGAGTTGCTAGTCTATGGTGTTGGAAATGTTTCCTTCGAGGTCTTTTTATTTTTTTCGAAAGCTTATTTTTCAGTACAAAAGCTATATTAAATTTATTTTTCAATTAATAGTACAAATTTACAAAAGCTATATCGATGGACATGTGAGGAAGAAGAAGAAGCGGTTCACCAGCCACTACATATGTGGATCGCACCTTATTCTCAAACCTAGCGGTTGCTCGCTCTTTGATCAGTGATTCACCGGCCACTAGATCAATGAAGAATCTCTTCAAAATCCGCTTTTGATCAGTGATGCACCAGTCACTACATCTGTTGGTCCTAGCTTATTTTCAAACCTGGCGGCTCGGTTGATTGGCACTCTTGTAAGCTCATCTTGCATACAAATTATTAGGAGTAAATTTGATTTACTTTTTTTATACGAAAATAGACTAAAAAACCCTCAAGCTGGCCCCAGAAATCCAAGAGCTTTCCTCGCCTCCATATGACCATCAAAATCCATTTCGCATGTCGCATCATGCGGTTAAAATGAGTCGATGCCACATAATTATGTCCATTTTTTAACTTTACTAGGATGTTACATTGGACAGAAACCCAATGTCACTGAAAGGAAAATCCTTGTTTTTGGATTCTTTATAAGAATTTGTTTTTATATTATAGATATCAAAACTTTATTTAATTTTTAAATATCTTTTATCAAATTGTGGAATGCTGAAAAGACATCCTATTATGTGAGTTATTAGTAGACTAATGACATGTTTAGCTCATTGCATAGGATTAACAGCTTGGTGACAACTTGTTAATCTTAATTAACTGCACTTAAGAAAATTAACACAAAAATTATACTTCCAATGGCTCTTTATAAAAAGAGGTTAGCCCCTCAAATAAAAAATAAAAATAGAGAAAATGATATAGAAAGAGAGATGAAAGGTGAATGAGATTCACCAAAGATGACTATCTAGGTTGACTGTCACCAGATGGCTTGGTCTATACAATTTGATATGAAACCTCAAGTCCATCATGTAATTTATATACAGATCCTAGTAAGTTGTTTACGAAATTTATTTATTATTTTGTTTATTGGGACTAACACACCGTGTTTCTCTCTTCCTATCCTTATAGAGAGAGAGGATCGTTCATTCTCTCATTATCTCTAGACAAAGAGCGATGAGATTTGTGCTCCGTTGGGGCCAGGTTAGAAAAAGAGTAAATTACGTGCCATACTTTTGGCGGGGTCAATTATCAAATAAAGTGTTATTTGTCCAAAATTACAAGCACCATCCACTTCATGCCGCATATTTTTTTTCTCTAAGTGGCCCCTTGTTTGACAATGCAAATACCGGACAGGGGTTCTTTTTTTTTCCTAAATTAGTATTGTTGTCTAGTATTTTAATTGCTGAACAGCTCCTACTCGATAAGAAATAAAATTTGAAGAAGAAGAGAGACGAGGCAATCATTTTTGGGGGAAAGGGCTCAGCAAAAAGGACGCTGCCGAAGCACCGAATCTGCCCATTCAGACTTTCGAAAAATATAAACAAATTGGTTCAAAAATTGTAATTCCTAACTCTATCTAAACCCATTTTTCTTTGGATTTTCAAAATCAAGAACCAAATCCTCACTACTTACATTACCCATCTCTTCCTACTGTCTCTCTTCTTTTTTGTTTTTCCCCAAAGAACGATTTCATAACGTAAATGGAAAATTGGTTTGGAATCATAATTTTCAAGCCAATTTGTGATCTTCAACCCGTGGCATTTTGGAAGAGATACATAGAATCCAAAAATAGAGATATAAATTACATGTTGAAAATAGATTTTTAATTCTAAAAAAAAAAGGGATACTGGTGCAAGTTTCTCCTCAATTTATCTTTTCTTTTACATTTTAACCAGTGATATCTTAGCCGCCTATATGGATTAAACGGTCACAAAGTTTTAACCACATTTTTTTCCACGTGTTTCCATGTTTAGGAAGAAAATTTAGAGTTCCGCCAACGGAGAGCAACAAGTCGTTGTAGTATAGTGGTAAGTATTCCCGCCTGTCACGCGGGTGACCCGGGTTCGATCCCCGGCAGCGGCGAGCATAGTTTACATTTAATATAGTGCAATATTAATTTTGCCTGGGCAAAAACCACACTTATTTGAAACCATTTTTTTGCCTTAAAATAATATATTTTTTATATAATGCAATAATATTTTTGCCTGGGCAAAATCTACACTTATTTAAAACCATTTTTTTGCCTGAAAATAGGATTTTTTATATTTATATAATGCAATATTTTTGCTTGGGAAAAATCTACACTTATTTAAAACCATTTTTTTGGCCGAAACTAGCATTTTAGAAAGCCATATTGCTTTCATTTTCCTAAAGAAAGTCATAAAGGGAACATGAAGGATGAGTTTTTATGTTTTTTTCTTTTTCTTTTTTCCAAAAAATCATGTGTATTTACATTAGAATTTCTTCAAGGATAAAGTTACTATAATGCATGGGGGCTTTGCTCGATCAAACAGTCACATGCCCTTTCAGTATCTTCTAAAATCAAGATATTGCCGAGTTGTCAAAAAATACCTTTAGGTAACGAAAATCTATACGATGGCTCTAAAATCAATTGACAACACCAAAAATAGAATTTGAAACTAGAAAAAATACATATCTTGTGGATATTTGAACACTTATTTCTATAGTGAAATGGACGATCCAAATAATTTTTTACAATATACAGTATTTCTAGAACTTCAAATCCTAAATTTTTTTTCACAAACATAATATTCAAGCCGAGCCGAGATGATTGATGTAAGGGTTTTCCAATGCTTAGATTGCAAATTTAGGTCAACTATGAGGTAAAGCTTTACTGATTTTGATAGCGTTGCGCCCTATCAAACCATTTTCCAAAATATTTAAGTGGAGTAGGGCTACAAAACCACTTATAATTATAAGTGGCGACGCCATAATTCATTATTTTTGTCGCAAAATTGGTCACATGCCCTATTACATTACAGTGGTTTATTAAAAAGCAAAATCAACTTAAAAACAGAAAGGCAACCATTAGAGTGACAACTTTTGAAGCAACATCCTCCAGAGAAGATTATTTCCCAAACATTAGTATAATCACCCACATAAAAAAGTGGAAATATTGTTTTTGGCTCTCAGGAGCAAATATTGTTCACTTGCTCCATCGATTAGCCTTGACAATGGGTCAAGCGGCCCGGCCTAAAAACAAGGTCACAAGCTGTCGCTCAAGGGCCATGATGGGCCGGACCCACCTGATCCCATTTTTCTTACATTTTTTTGTTGAATTGTATTTGACCCAGCCGGCACCATGGTCAGGGCCAGCTAAGATCGGTGCCTTTATTTTTTGGGGGTAAATCAGTAAGGGAAAAAGCTCCTCATTAATAAAATTACATGAATTATAACAATACATTTTACAACCTTAACATACGGCAATTATGCAGTATTATGATGTAAATAAATAGAAAGAAACCAAGAATCCTAAAACTTCAAAGTGGCATTTAAAAAAAATGTAGTTTTTTTTAGCAAGTAAAGAAAGAGAAAGGTCTGGTCCTGCAAAGCCCAGTTTGAACCGAACCAGGCAAAGCCAAGCTCAGCTCCTTTACACAAAGGAGTTAATGTACAATATGATCCCGTGGGATCGGAGCAATTAGAATACAAAGAAAGACAAGTGAAAAGGCAGGAGACAAAAAGTGTCTTGAGCTTTGCATTGCCACTCGAAACCCGAAAGAAAAAAGCAGGAGGCATCGACGAAAGCAAACAGCTTTCTGGTGTGTAGGGATAAATTAAGAAGCAACACAGTGTCAAATCTGAAGACTTTAAACTACTATTAGCAATGGCAGTTAAATAAGGAGCCTCTTGTCTCATTTTCACTTGACAAAAAAACATACATTCAAATAGAGAGAGAGAGAGAGAGAGAGAGAGAGAGCATTGAAAACTAAAGTGCAGTGCGACTATGATTCTTGATGAAGTCTTTGAACTGTCGTAGTTTGTTAAGGCAAGCTTGAGCCCTCTCAATAGCTGAATCCGCGCTATCTCTTCCTCTTGACCTCTCCTCCTCTTTTTCTTCTTTCTTCCTCTTTTTATGCTTGCATTTTCTTACATTGCTATTATCGCCATTATAGCAATAATCTTTGTCTATTGCCTTTCTCTTTCTATTAGATGAAACTGAAGTTTCAGATGAAAAAAAAGAAAATCAATACTCAGAAAAGGATTACAACTTCTAATTATACAGAGAAACTTAGAAGAAAATCATGTAGCAACAACTAACATATAATCTTTTTTGTTTTTAACGGTAGCTAGCAACAATTAAAATATAATCGACAAATAATTGGAAACTTTGCCATTTCGGAGAGAGAGAGATTCATTAGAGAAAAAATAGGGGATATTCAATCCTTTTGCATCACAAATGCGGCAGTTGTACGAGAGAGAGATTATATAAAGAAAAAACAGGGAGATTTAAACCAGACCTGCAGTAGTTGCAGAGGAAGCAGGGGGGTTAGCCTGAGTGAGCAAAGCTTGAAACTCCTTTTTCAGAAAACCAAATCTATTGGGATGATCACTTTCAAGCTTTTGTAGCTCCTCTCTTGCTTGCTCAGCCACCCATTCACAATCCATAAGAGTCCCAAAAAGAAAATACGCCATTAAAGCTCTGCAACATCACACACCCCCATGAAAAACTCAACCCTCTCACCATAATAGCAAACCACTTTATTGAAAACCAATATACTCTAAAACCTCAAAACCCAATCTTCAAAATATGTGGAACCTTGAAGCCCTGCAACTCAAGCTTCACACCACAAACACTATGAAAGCTCTGCAACTCAAGTTTCACATATCAAATAACCAACCCAAATCAAATGATTCCAAAATCCAAACCAACTGGTTTAGAAGTTCAAAAACAACTTACCCAAAGGAAGAGAGGAAATGCAAGATTCAAAAGAGCAACGCCATTAGAACTCTGCAACTCAAAATCCCGCTGAAAGCTCCAGAGCTCTGCAACTCAGACCTTTTCACAATGCACAGTGGGTGGGTCTTCGCCAGGTCTTCACCATAATCACTTTATATTTAAAAAATCATAAATATTTCTCGCTTGCGCGTGTACAATCTCCTCGAAACAGTTCGAATAATTATTTGCGTCCGTAGAAACATTTGTTGGTGATCGTTCTCTGTGATCCCGCGGGAGGATTTTGTAATCGCTCCCGTGAATAGTACGTTCCCACTGGATGATAGTGTACAACAACTCCCTCAGGCAAAAAATATCACTATACTTTTAGAGAAATTTATCAAATTATTCTGACGAATTTAACTATTATTCATATCTCTTGATTTAACTTTTATAAAAACTATACAATAATATATGATGGTTTAATTTTTAAAAGCAATACAAAAATACATGATTATGAGTTAGAATAGTCGCAATTGGGCATAATGTTTAGGAGACGGTTTCTATGTGGCAGCCCGCATATTGCAGAAATGCAAGTTTTGTAATAAATATATTTTTTAAAATATAATTTGATCCTAATTTTTAGAGAATATATAATATTTAATATGAAGATCGTGAATATGACAAAATATTAAAAATTAAAAATAGTAATTATATTTAGAAAACATTTGAGCCATTAGTTACATTTGTTCAGATGGACCACCTATTTGCATTCATCTTTAACATGGATGCTTTACACTTATGAACAACATATTATAGAAACACGATCGAGCACAAACACAACAATTTTCCTAGTGTTAAGAGGCCGAAGTTTATATAAAATGCCCTCCTTGTGCTGTAAAAGTAAGGTGCAAGTCATGATACTTTGAAAATAACAGCTTGAAAATATACTTCCATTCCTAATTAAGAAATTTAAATTTCAAAAGTAATATATACGAACAGATCAATGAATACTTAAAATTATTAAGAATATAAGATGTAAATAACTAATCACAAGATATAGTATTCTTAAGATGTAAGTTTTTTTATATTCATACATCTTGAGGTTGAGGTGAACAATTGATTTTTGAGATGTAATTTACTTTTACATGTAGAATAAAAAATAAATGATTTTTAAGATGGAATTTACTTCTGCATGTAGAAGAACACTTTCTTCTACATGATTTTTGAGATGTAGTTTACTTCAATAGTATGAAGTTGATACCTTACATAATTCTTTTTCAATGTTAAATACTTATTGTCTTACAAGTATTATGACTTTTTTCAATTTTTATCCTGATTTTTAGGATGCATCTAAATATCAGTATAACTAATGTTTAAGGAATAAATTATAGAATTTGAGTTCTCAAACACGATCTCGCCCCCCAAAAAAGCGAAAATTTAGTTTAAATTTTTTTTTTTCTCAATGTTGCTATTGGGTGCAAAAGAAGTGAAGCCCCAAAGCATGAATTCACAGAACCTCACGCAGTTACTTTTAAACAAGTGAATGCACACTATGCTCCGGGGGGAGCAGTAAAGTAAATATTTGTGGGTTTTTCACCGAGCAGTAAAGTAAATATTTGTGGGTTTATCGTGAGGCGCTGGCGGCGGCGCCGGTACCGAGAGAGAATGGACAGCTCTTAGCCGTTTCCCTCTCTAAGTTTTGGCCGGTTAGAAAGCTCGACTCGGGACCGAGTCATGGGTCCTGAAAGAGACGAGTACGATAAATTCGGCTAAAAAAATAAAAAAAGGGAAACGTTTATATAAAGCTGAGGCTCTAAACAATCAAATTAAAGCCTACCTCAAAAATTGACTACAAAAAATTGTTTTGGTGCTCAAATATCGTCAAATTGATCATCTTGACAGTCAATTTTCAAGATTTTCAAGTTTTCATAAATCTCTCGATCTCCACTATTTTTTAAGCTTTAAACTTTATAAATAAATATAGAAATATTTTTTTAAGTCTATCAAAAAGATTTCCAGTATTGAAATCACATTTTTCGATAGTATTTGAAGGTAGGCTCTAATTTGATTGTTTAGAGCCTAGGCTCCATACAAACCACACCCATATAGAAAAATATATGTTTAAAGTAAGATTAAGCAAAACAGTTTATAATAATTTTTTAAAAATAGTAAAATAATAGATCTCAAAAATCAACTTTTGAACTCGAAGATAATTCAAAAAAGATGGAAAAATATAAAAATAAGTATTTATAGCCAAAACACTTTCCAATCTTTGCTATTAAACACCCAACTTGGGACAACTCGGGCTGAAGCCTGAATAACTCGGCCGAGTAGAAACTTCTCTAGTCGATTTTTCTAACGATGGTTTTGGCATCTCTTTCTCTTTCTTTGAGTTTGTTTGTTGCTATCGTGCTCTCTCTATGTTCTTGGTTCTATGTAAATCGTGACCATATGTCTCACAAACTCAGTTGTGTAATTTGATCTGATTTACGCGCTCTAAAAGCGTGATGGAAAATGTAATTTTGTAGTCTAGAACCATTGTGATGGTCTGAAGTTCAATAATTGTCGGAAGGCCCTAATAGTATTTGGGCTCGGGCCATCCCTTGGGTCAAAAATTCTAAATTTGTAAAGAGAAAATATTTATTTCATGTATACAGTAAGAGTGTAGGCTTTGAATATAAGGAAATAAGAATCATTATTGACCATTAAATTTCAAATTAGGTAGTGGGAGACGTGGCATTAATTGAACCCAAAGTTCAAAATAAATTTTATAAAATGTTATGACATAGTTTAGTTTGTTTGATTTTATATCTAATGGCTAAAAATAATTATAACCTCTTTGTATTAAAAGTAGATGGTCTCAAAACATATAATACTAAAAAACAAAACAGGTTGTGCAAGCGTGAGCCTAACCTAAATGCATGTGGCCCGACTATTAGTTTAAAAATGGGCCAATCATGTCAAAGCCCGGATGCGGGTCCCGACTCCCGACCCATTAACAACGCTAGCAGCCTATGTTTATGATATCGTGTAAATCTAGATCTACTTTCAAATCGATGGTCAAGATATGGCCTTGCAAGATACACCCTATTTTTAGGGCTTTCTCGATTTCAAAGTGATGAAATCACCCTCCCAGGACTTTGTAACAAGTCTCCCCTCCGCAGTGGAACTTGTTCAAAAATCAGTGATCAAAATTCGCTGGACCAGCTTGAGACTCGTCCGAGTTTCCAATTATTTCAGCCGTTGGAGTCTTTTTAGCCGTTGCAGTGGGCCACCATACAAGGAATGGCCGCGCAAAGGGTAATTAAAGGCACAAGGAGTTACCGACCATACACTATCCATAAGTTACAGAAAATGGATTCATTTTTCCTTTCCATTTTTTTGAAGGGTAAAAATCTAAAGGAAATCGTTTATATAATGGAAAAAGCTTATATAAGAATGCTACCTTATAACGTATAACTACGGATGGCCCTAAAAATTCTATCGGAAAAGATAGTTTTAATATTGAAAAACCTTTTGATTGATCATCTCGACATCAAGATGTATGACTATGAAAAATAAAAAGATTTTAAGTATAAAAAATAGTGTATTTTAGAACATATTATCTACACCGTCCATTTTCAAGATTTTCATATGTTTAAAGATCTATTTGATTTTAACTATTTTTTTAATTCAAAATTTTATGATTAGATATAAAAATAGATTTTGAGATAATCTTAATAATATTTTACATCAAAATTATATACCATGATAAAATTTGAAGGGCACCTTACCTCTACACCTACGGAGGCGTCCCTATGCAAATATATAATAAGGTTTCAACTTTAAAAATGTATAATTAAAGTGTACCTAAAAATTCTATTATAAAAAGTTGTTTTGAAGTTGCAAAACCTCCAATAGATAACATCGAGATGGATGGATATTAAAAAAAATGCAAGACATTATCTGGACGTCTATTTCAAGATTTTAAATGTTTTTCTAGATCTACTTGATTTGAATATTTTTGGGGTCCAAAATTTATAATTAGAGTTGAAAATAGATTCTCAAGCCATCCCAAGAATTTTTGACACCGAAATCATATCTTATAAAAAACTTTGGTGGTGCATCTTACGTTGATTGTTTAAGGTTGCAACCTTATACAAACCACGCCCAAATCTAAAAATATTTGTGTCTATTAGGCCATTTTTTTATTGCACATAATGGAAACCATTTGGTAAGCCCACTAACTTAGGTCTGCATTGGTTTTCTAGTGTTTTAGGATTTGAAACACATCTCAAATCACAATTCACATCCACCTAACATCCCTAACGTTTGATCTCGAAGAACACTGTAGTAGATCTAATGATCGTTGAAGAAATGAAATAAATGCTCCAGAAAAAGGTACCATATTTATTGCTCAATAGTCATTTTCTTTTTTAAGAGATTTGAGTGGTGTGGTCCAGATGATAGACCTTACAATTTTTTAATCCATAATCCATCTCGAAGATGGAGCTCGGATTGCTGAATTCAATAGGTGCAGCACCGAATGCACCTTCATCCTATTCTCACAACATTTTATACATTTGTGGGATTACTTATAAAAAGATTATTTATCTAATGTACATGGAGGTCACAATCATTCTTGTCCATTAAATATCAAAATGGGTCATTGTAAGAGCGTCGTTAAATAAATACAAAGTTCTAAAAATGAAATTTTTCAAACTTTGTGGCTCACCTCAAGTCATCCACTTTGATATTTAATGAGTGAGAATGACTATGATCTCCATGTACAAAAGATAGATGGTCTTTTTTATAAACAATCTCTATATCTGTTGGCTGAACATTTGATACATTTGTTTGTTGGTGTTTCTTTTCGCAAATTTGCTCTGACAAATACTTTGAGAAGTTCAATGCATTTAAAACTTAAGCCGGGTTTTTGAGACAAGCTTAAGGATTAGAACTTTTCAACTCCCTCACCCAAGCTAATATATCTACCATTGATCCCAAGCCGAAGGCACGAAAGTACGTGGTTTTGCTCTTGAAACAAATTTGACAAACCTTTTTTTTAAAAAAATAAGTGTATGCTACAACTACTCCTAGCTCTTAAATGTCGAATTGAATGGCTTAAAGCATATCACAAAGTTCAAGAAATTTTTTTCTTAAACTTCAAATCAAACCAATGACATACTTACAACACCCTATTAAAAATCTAATAGACAACAGTTATTGTAACTTTCTTATATTAAAAGCAAATTCTCTTTGTATATGTTTCCATATTTAAAGGTAATCCCAATTTTCAAATATTAGGCAAGTCCATATCATTTGTTTGGTTTGAAAAAGGCATACATAACTTTGTTATCACCAAGCAAGGGACATGATTAGAAAACTCCTAGTCCTAGTCAAGGCTTTTACCAAGGAAGCAAGGGGCATGGTTAGAAAACTCCTAGTCCCTAGACAAGGCTTTTACCAAGGAAACATACGCCTACATGATCATATGATCTTTTGCCTGTTTTGACTGCTCCACGTTCTTGAAAGAGAAATGAAACTTGCAATGGGCAGGGGTGGCAATGGACCTGGACCCAACCAGGGATCCGAGGGGTAGACCCGATCCCAATTCAGGTACGTGTTAAAAAATTTAACCCCACAAGTCAAGTCCGGGTTCAAATCTTGGACCCTAATACCATTCGGGTCCGGGTCCGGTAATATTCTCTAGGCCCCAATATACGAAATATATTTAAATATAATTAAATACATATATATTTTAATTTTTGGATCAAGTCCAAGTCCAAGTCGTATAATATTTTTCACGCCCCCAATATATGAATATATTTAAATATAGTTAAATACATAGATATTTTAATTTTTGGGTCGGGTCCAAGTCCCATATCATTTTTTTGGGCCGGACCCAGACCAGACCCAACACAACCCGTTGCCACCCTACAAACTCATGTGTTTGTGTAAGTGAATAAGGTGCCCAGTGGAGCACTCATACAAGTATTAAACACCTTTATGGGGAAACTAAAAAAACCTTAACTACGAGCATTATTGGGGATGGGATCTACTCTACCTAGCAACCAATCTTAAACAAAAAAACAAAAAAACAAAAAAAAGGACGAAAAAGAAATTGAAGAAAATCCACACAATAACGTTATACGAAGACCATCCAATTTCGGGACAGTCGGATCTAGAGAGTACTTGAAGTCCTCTCTTTGCTTTTCCTCTTTAAACATACTTGGATAATGATTCTAAGGGAAATTTATCAAAACAATCCTCAAATTTGGACTATTTGACATTTAACCATTCTTTTTCTCAATGTTTCTACCAAATATTTTCTTCATTTCCTTGCTATAAATCTAATATAATATGCCCTTGCACATCTTTTGGAATTTGCAGATTTTCTTTCTAATCAGTGAAAGCCAACTACAAGTTTGATACATTTAGCTATTGAAACACATGGCGTGAAAATTTGCCGAAATTTTAAATAAAAACATCCAAATTTTCAATTAAAAAAACAAAGAAGAGAGAGTTCTTAAATCTTAATCATATCATACTGGTACCCCGAGAAAAATTTACTCCACTTCAGCCAGATAATCATCAATTTCAGCTGGTGTCAAGACTCTGCAACCACCCACAAACAAATGAATCAATAATCTACTCTCCAAAAATTTCAGTTGGGCTTATTTTGATTATTCATAAATCAGAAAGAAGATACATTTTTTTTTTTTACTGACAATTAGTAATATCTTGAGATATTTTAGGAATGAGCAAATAACATAATTGAACTATCATGGTGTCAGGCCCAACAACTAAGCCCAGCAAAGCATGGTCCCCGGCCAACATATGCAACCCATGCCTGGCAGCTAGGTCATTGCCCGGCCAAGCAAAGCCAAAATGGACCCATGGCTAGCCAACCCAGGCCCAGCCCGTTGCCAGTCCTGCTCATGGCCTTGGACTTAGTGAAAGTGAACATGCAGAGTCACACAATGGGGGAGAAACTTGCCTGAATTTAGGATCCGGTTCAGGGCCAATTATCCCAATTTCTATATTCTTCCCAGATATTTGGCCTTCGAACCTTTAAAAAAAAATCACAAGATAAAAAAAACTCTGAATTTTAGATAAGAAAGTACTTCAAAACATGTATAGTAGCTGCATACCCCTCTTTCAATGTTAGAATAGCTGTGTGCACAGCATCGTCAAGCCCCATATTGTCTGTGTACCTGTGAATACAAAATTTTTATTTATTAGCAACAGGATTTTCTTTGAAACAACATTGTATGCTCAGACAAAGGGACTTGAAAAAAAACTAATATAATATTCCCCTGTGTCCACGGCGAAGCTTGATACAGATCAAAAGATACGAATGAAAGATTAAATAAAAACAGAAAACAGAAAAAAATAAAGGACCCAAAAATACACTCTTTTGTCGATCAAAAGAACTATAAAATTCATGAATCCCACGGCCTTATTAATGCAACATCCCCACATGGCTAATTATATTTCACTGTTTTGGTAACAAGAATTATATTTCACTGTTTTGGTAACAAGAATTATATTTCACTGCACTAGAATAAAATGAAGAGTGATAAATTTTCATTCAATTCCCCGATCAGGGACATTGCTTTTTGTGCTCTTCTAGGGACTAAGTGTCGCTAAAAGAACTCGAAGCACTACTTCTATGAGAAATAGTTAATCATAGTACCTTTTCTCCAAAAACGTTTTTGCATTAGACACATTCTTCCCCATAGCTGAAGCTTTCCAAGAGAAGTATGATCCTGATGGGTCCACCTACATGTAAACAAACAAGAAAACGAACATAAATTCTATGAAGAGATTTAACTCTTTACAGATAAGAAAAGGGCAATCCTACTTAATACACAGATAAGAACAACCAATACAGATAAATACCATTCAGTCTACGGGGTTTCCATGGTCAAATATACTTAATACCATTCTTTAAATTCCCTAAAAGAGGCAAAAAATGGAAAAGGAAAAAACCAGGGTTAACTCCCTGACTTTTTCAATTTTGGAGGAACTTAGAAAGTACATCAATTTTGGGGAAAACATTTTTGTACCAGCAGGATGCGACCTTGAGACCAGGTTCAAAAACAGATACATAACATGACCAATAATATGTTTACTCATAATTCAGGTATATTTAAGTTAAAAACTAATATGCGGGCCAAAACCTGAGTTCACGCAACAAAAACTCGGGGGGCTGCAAATTGAGCCAATAAAACTTGAAAAAAGTTTTCAATTCACAGATTCTGATCAACATCAATACCATAAGGAAGTTTTATAATATAAATTCATATGGCAATTACGGTGTGGAGTTAGTATCAGTATCGTTAAAACAGGTCTTCTTTTTAAAATGAAAAGGCAGAGGAGCGTTTTGTGGATTTTTCTAAGCCAGAGGGGGACGAGAAAGTGGGCTTTACTATATTTATACGGATAACATTACGCAACGCCCATAGGCAAAAATGAACAGTGTTTTCACCAATGGGCTCGCTGCCATCCATTTTTTTGGATAGCATGGAAAATTGACCGCACTGGACATAGTATGTACAGTGCGGTCGATTTTTTATATGAAACCGCAACGGCTCTATGGGAACCGTTGTGGCTTTTCAAGCTAAACCGCAACGGTTCTACGAGAGAGCTGTTGCGGGGCGAAAACATTGTACCCTTTTGCCCCATGGCGTTTTTAAAAGTTTTTCTGCATATATATATATATATATATACACAAAAAGACAAGATGAGGGAAAGTAGAGATGACTGTATGGCAAGACAAGAAAAGATAGAATTTGGAATGAATATATTCGAGGGAACTGGAGGAGGCTCCAATAAGTGACAAGATGAAGAAAAGTAGACTTAGATGGGCTGACCATGTGCATCGCCAACCCAATACTGCACCAATTAGGAGAAGCATTGCTTCAAGTGGAAGGTTTTAGAAAAGACATGGATTGAAGTAGTGAGAAAGGATATGGAGACTAATGGTCTTACTGAGGGTACAGCCCTTGATAGAGTAGAATGGCGAAACAGAACTTGTGTAGCCAACCCCAAATAGCTTGGGTAGGGCTCTAATGATAATGATGATGATGATAATCATGATGATGACGACAAACAGAACAGTTAAGCTTGTTTTGGTTCAAGGACAAACCAGTTCAAACTTCGAACCCTTGATGGGAGAGAACATGATCATTTATGGATAAATGGAACATCCAAACTGGGCCTAAAAGAACAATTTGAGTCTTTCAATATTTTACTTCTAAGAAAAAAAAAACCTGTATTTTTTCTGATGCCTACACCAAATTATCTATGAGAAGCACACAGGTACCCTCCACGGATAGGGTCACTGGCAAAGCCAGAAAAGAACCAACAAATACCTGGTACAACTGTGGACCATTGTCATCATATCCTGCAACAAGAAGTGAAACTCCAAAAGGTCGAACTCCACTGCCAATAAAGAGCAGATCAGAAAAGAAATGCATGCAAGAAATTTTATTTCCAAAGCATGAGACCAGGTGTAGTAGTCACCCAGATTGAGTGAACTCCTGCATGACAGCCGCAGTTTCTCTACAAGCTGTGTAACAGGGATTGGCTCCTGCATTCACAAGTGCAGTGAATTAGTTGCGGAAATGCTTTGAGCTTGATAGATATATTCATTTCGTTGGTTTGGGATTGAAAGTTTTGTTATCATTCAAACTTACGCTAGAGCTAACAAGCCAGCTACCGACTAATAAAAAATTTCATTGTTGAATAAGCATATTTAATGCAAAACCCCACTGCACAAAAATTTCAGATATCTCCAACAAAAACAAAACATGAAATCCTTATAATACCAGAACATGATAAATCAATGACTAGGAGTTGCTCAAGAGCATATAATTAAAGCAATATCATGATGAGCCACATACACAGTTGTTGTTTTAGTACGACAAAAGCAAATGTCCCCATGAGCAAATAAACCCATTTTTGTAGCATATCAAATAAACGAGGACCATTTTGCAGCACAAAAAGAAACCATCGACATTTATTTTGGATCTACTCAAACATAATGATTCTAATACAGCATGCCAGTATGGACTCGAACATTACCAAGAATAAAACAAGTGGGGACTTTCATTTCATATTAAAATTTTACAGGCAACCAAAACATCAATCCAGAGAAGCAAAACGTTGGCTTACACCCACCTCTTTGCTTTTTGGTTATTTGATAAATTTTACATGCCCCCTTTTGTTGAATGTCATTCAACCATTTCCTAGTTACCAACAAAGTTCACTAAAACCCCACAGAAAACTCTCTCATAAGCCTACCGCAAAGGTGGCCACTCAAGCTACTATACGTAAATTCTTGCTATGAAAAAGTTCCATTAATATCGGTTTCTTATTAGTGATATATAAAGAAAGCAAGAGGTTATGACAGTCTAAGATATACCACATTCCCTTTTTGGTCATCAAATTCTTACCCTTCAACTGCCATTCCTAACAAAATCACAAGGAGGAACCCTTACCCCCTAGCCTGATCGGGCTGGGGCTCTAGATATTTCCCTTGCTCTTCCAAAGTTCCCCCTTCCACCAATATCTTTGCATGAATAGAAGTATAGTTCTCAGTTGAAGCACACGAGGACCTCGGAAAATCAAAGCATATATGATGAACTGACAGCTTAGGTGAAATAGATTTTTCACAATAAGCCATTTGCTTTATGAATTTTATCACAACAAAAATTATTTTCATACAGTAAATCTGAAAGTAAAATAATACTACATATTGTTGCTATCAGGCAGTCACATTTATATCCAAACTAGACCAGATACAGGGCCACTAAACACAATCATATATTCAAATTCAAAGTACCGTGAGTTCATAGTCATTCATATCAATCCTCAAAACACGAAGAGACCAGGATCAAGTTGGTCCAAAATGATAATCCAAGCAAGAAAAACAGTGAAAATGGTCTCAAATGCTGTAAATGATTACTATATGTTTTACTTCTATTTTCCTTTTTCTTTTCTTTTTTGTGTAAGGTTGTCAGATAGGGGGGGAAAAAAACCAAGGGAGGCTGGTTATTGCCTCAAATCAACACCCTCATAACTCTCCCAACTGATTCACCCCAAGGAAAAAAACACCACCCTCATAGCTCTTCATCATAGCCTCAATCAGAAATTCTGTATCTTAAACCTGACCTCACCGAACCACTGCAAAATGTCTTAAGTTAAGAGTGAGTTTGGGAACCAGTAGTATAAAAATTGGACTAGCCACTGAACTGGTCAGGGGTAGTCCAATCAAAACTGGTGGGGTTGAACCAACGTTCAAAGAAAGGGATCAATGACCCAGAACGCCCATTCAGAAAACTAGTCTGGTTCGGCGGATTGGAGATCCAGCCGAGTGAACCGGCCAATAAAAATTAAAAAAACAATAGAAAAAAAATTTTGAAAAAATTAAGAAGTAAAAGTGGGGCCTGTTCAGGCCGGGTTCTGTAAGAGAACCGGCCAAAACCAGCAGTTCCTAGAGAGCACCTGCCAATTCCCAATACTTAGGCGGAACTAGGCCGGCCCCTCTGGTTCCCGATCTGGACCGGCCAGTTTCAATCCGGTTGCCTTTTTTTCATACACTGGGTGAACTAGTTGGACAAGATTTAATAAAGATGAATAAAAATAAGAAGAATAGCTTAAAAATATGAAATTATTTAAAATGTGTTGCCCAATGTTGTTTAGGCAAGCGAACCGGTCAAAACAAAACCAACTACCCGACCGGTCAAAATTACTCAAACATGGTTTTTTACTGGTTTTCAATTTTGCACCAGACCAGTACAAGGTAACCGTCAGTGTTTTGACCAGTTGGACCTATCCATCTAGTCTGATCTTGATGACATTCTTCCAAACAAATAGCCATTTGATGTAAAGCCTTAAAGGATGCCCCAGAAGAGTTAATAAATATAAACAATGATATTCAACAAATATGAGAAAGAAACCACCATGTTAAACATACGGATGGAAAGAAGATCCGGAGAGGGGAAAAAGAAGGCACTCACTAGAAATAGGAAAACATGTAAAGGAAGTGGCTGTTGAGGGGCCACACCAGCTAATAGTAGCTTTTGGTTTTTAGTGATACATAAAAAATGAAAGCAACAGCACCTCAGTGCATCCAACAACCATACAGATATGCAAGGAAGAAGAAACTTACGCAAATATGCAAAGGCAAAACCAAATAGGAAGGAGGATCAGATATAACAAAAATCAATTTGTTCTCATGAGAGAATATTCTTATAGATGATAAATTGATGTAAATAGGGGAGCAATTACTTTGTACAGTCTATAATACTGTTGTGCTTGTTTTCTACTTTTCCGAACCAAAACTCGGGAGTCAGGACCCATCCCGCTGCAAAAAACAAAGAACAACATCATAGAATAATCAGTTGTACCTTGCATGAGTATATATCTGCTACTACAATTGATGATTACGAATAAGCATAGGGTACTTAAAGAAGTGGAATTTATCAAAAAACAAAAATAAATCGAGAAATTAGAAACAGTGGGCAAATTGAGAACTGTGCTTGCTGCTCAATCATTCCCTGCTATCCATTATCCGCTATGATTTTTATTACATCTAAATGATCTAAGATTCCAATGATATGCTCTCTGGCAATGTAGGTAAAGTAGTGTTTCAAAAAAAATTTGTAGGTAACGTTGAGCACTATAAGTAGGTTGATCTGATCATTTACATTGAAATTCTACAAATAAAAGAGGGCTTGATGTCATTTGATATCTATATTACCATTGCATGTATGTATGTACTTATTGATTTCTTGTACATATAGACCCAGAGCAGCAATATGCTTGCATGCATGCATCTCTAAAATAAAAATATAATATCATGATGCACCAACAGAATTATATAAAAAATAAATAGACACAAACAGCACGATCCTAAATTAGTAATAGCAGCCACTAGAGAGACAGCCTACATTCTGAGGTCCGAATGTTGTGTGGTTCAAGCACAAGGAGGTATGTCAGGACTAGGCTCAACAACACATTCATAGAACATCAGCGTGAGGCTTTGGATATGAGTTGGTCCACCCCGTCAGAGACTATATTGTTACTCCAGAATAATCTCTGTGGAGCCACCATTACATATCACAAAGGTAAATCAGGACTTGTCATCTTGCATGGAGTCCATCAGGCATGCATCACACCATGAAAGTTGGACATGCCCAAACTGAATTGAAGCATGAACAAAATATGGCCAGCCCATCCCAATGCAACCAGCCCAAGAGCAGTATGGTTTCGCATGTTGTCCTAGTAAAGCGGTGCTACATGGAAACCTATGTGTTCAAGACATACCAAGGTTCAACCGCAAGGAAGAGTAAAAATTTCTAATGTGGACAGGTCTTTAAACTTCTGGATACTTTTTTCTATTAGTAACTTAATTTTAGTCATTTCTGGAAAGTACAGTACGAGGTTTGGTAGGTACAAAATTGAATGTCTTACAAAATTCGCACGTAAAAAAAGATTTGTGTGACTGTAGTTAGAATAGGAGTGTTGTGGTGTTCAAAAAATTGGCCAGGATTGGGGTTGGATAACCAATTCAGATCTGGGCACACATTGTAAACTTCTGGATACTTTAAAACTTCCAAAACAGAGTCAGTTGCACATCTTAACACTTCCCCCGAAGTGTTAGGCATTTCCAACCAAGCATAAATTGCACATGCAGACAAATCAAAGTGCCTACTACTTAACAGAAGCATCACACATGTAATTTATTCCACTAAGTGTCAGACACATCAGAAGCATAAAGAAGTCAATATTTAAGCAGCAAAAGTAAACAGATAGCACAATGTAGCTAGACAAAGAGAAGCTTCAAAGTTTATTTCCTTTTTTTTTTGGTTAAGCGTGCTTCAAGTTTGACTGCATTAATCTTATATATCCAAGCATTATGTTGCTCATTTTTTAATAATATACGACACACTAACCCCAAATCATGCGAAAGAATTTGGCTCAAAATTTGACCGATTGAGGGCCTAACAGACTTAAGTACCATCTGTATAAGTATCCTCAATTGAAAAGCAAAATATGTGAAACCAAGTCAGCTTTTTACTTTCAGAAAAGAAACACAAAAATCAACATGTGAGAAGCCGCACCAACATTTCTGAAATTGATATAACAAATTAAATGAAACAAGGACTTCTGTGACATGTCAATACATTCTTCAAATATAAGCACTTCAAACAATAGTGTGAGTGAGTATAGATAAAAACCTGTAAACAACTCCAATGTTTGGCGTGAGAAGCTGGATCTTTTGCACCTGAAACCATCCAAATGTCACAAACTCAATACATTTCGTGAAAATCCACATGCAATGAAAAATCAATCATGTTTGTTGTAATTTTCATATGCAAAAGAAGATCCCAAAATACATGCAACTATAAATCAAATTGGAAAAATCTTATATTGAAAATAACAAATTCTTCAGCAGTAAATATCAAAAAGTATATGTTTCAATAAAAGACAATTCTTTTCTATAGTTAACCCATTTCAACAACAAATATCAAAAAGTGCATGACTCAAGAAAAGGGAAGTCTTTTGTACAGTTGATTCAACAAAAAACTAATTTGGAGAACCTACTGGACGGCACTGCAACACCCACAAACCAAACCTAGAATAACAGCATGGCAAGAATATCTATTCCAAATAATGATAACTAACAAGCAGTCTAATGATAGCACACAACCATGAAAAGATTGCCCTCAGAAACCAATCATGACACAGCATCTATGCTTGGCTTCACAATATGTGAAATTCACATGCACAATGAAGATCATAACAGTATAAATGTACATGTTTATAAGTAGATTGCATTATCTAACCAGGATCATATCTCTCGCCTTGGCTTTTACACCATATTGTATTCATATATTACATTTGATTAATCTTTTGTTACCAAAAGATATTTTAGATCTGAATAGTGTTAAAAATTTTGTAGCGGGAAACAAAATGCCCTCCTCCATTTAGGGGTCCTTAGGGGCATTTCTTTCACCCCAAATTTGGTAAACACATCCTCTTAGTCCTGGCCAAGGTCATGACGTTTTGGAAAAAAAAATTGTCTTTTTTTAGCATGTAGAAAGTGCAGTGATAGGAGCCATCCATTTCCGAGAAGAAAAAATGGCGTTCGAACAAGATGCTAGAGGGATTTGTGTAATCCCAAATATTTGTTGTAGATTGCCTCATCACCAGATGAACAACTAAAAAAAATTTATTCTAGTTCTTAAAGGGCTAGATCTAGCAATGATGAAATGGATGGCCATGCCTAGCAAGTCCGAGAAAACCATTTTCCAGGGTTTCTTTTGAAATATTTTGTATGGGCTTCTTTATAGGGGCCAAAAGGATGCACATATCAAGCTTGAGGCAAATCAAATACTCCTAAGGCCTTCAAAATGAGGGACAGTTACCAATGTAGCGACCTGCCCAAGGGCAGACAAATTTTTTCGCATTTATAATTGAAAATCTAATAACAACAGCGACAACAACAACAGGTTTGTACAAAGTTGGCGCCTCAAACAATCAAAGTAAGGTGCATCCTGAAATGATGCCGAAAAATGCAGTTCAAGTGCTGGAAATCCCTATGATGGCCTGCAAATCTATTTCCATTTCTAATTTTGAAATTTAAAGCTTCAAAAATAGTGTAGATCGAGCAGATCTACAAACATTTGAAAATCTTGGAAATTGACAGTCTAGATAATACATTACAAGATGCACTATTCCAAGACTTGAAATATTTTTTCCTAACATCCATACATCTCAAGTTTTGACACAAAAACTTTTGACATGGATCTCTAGAAAAGTTATGGACTTGGGTGAATGTGTCTATTGGTAGTTTTTCTATATATATATATATATATATATATATATAAATATATAAAAAAAAAAATCATAGGTCCACGAAACCTAAAGAGGCCCCAAATCTAAGGGGCCACTTAGATGGAGAAGCCCCAAAACTCCTTAGGGTGGCAGGCCCAAAAGTTCACCAAGGCCTTCAACTTATCTTGCAAAGCTTCTAGACCCAATTCCTTGCACTGTGAGGTGCATGAGTTCCATTCAATCAACAGTAACCAAATACAGGCCATTAACTCAGCTCTCCAAAAATAACCCCGCTGCTGAGAAATGTGTGTTGTAGAAAGCAGTGAATAATTGCAGCATATGCAGTACGACCCATTCCCTCTCAAACAAACCACGGATGAAGTGCCAAACTTGTTTTTCCACTGATCAATGGACAAACAGGTGGTCTACCCCGTCCTCTTTCCACATGAGACAATAATGGGGGATAGGAAGGCCCCTTCTTTGCATGTGACATTTCAAGAGCTCTATTTCAAAGGACCAACTGACTGAATGCTCAAATTTTCGGTAACTGAGAAGTGCCCAGAGGAAACAGCAGATCATACCAGCCTCCCCGGTCCAGTTATAAATTGTTCATTGAGCGTTTTGAATAACAAGGCAAAAGGGGGATCTCTGAGTCCCGGAGAGCACCTTTAGATTTTGGAGTCTAGATAACTATGTAGCACTCTGATACTACTACATTGGTATATGGCTATGGCAAAGAGACTTGGAAAGAACCTTGCAAGGGGTTATCTCCCCAACCCAAAGGTCTTTCCACAATCTAATATGGTCTCCCTTCTTTGCAACAAGTCCGACATGGCTGGTGAACTCGTCATGACTGAAGTAAATACCCTTCCAAATTAGAAAAATAAAAATAAAGGGAAAGAGGGGATCTCCGAGAGGAGGGGAAATAACAACAATGGCTGCCATTGATTAAAATTTTAAAACCATAAAATAGAGCAACTTAAGAAAGCCTGAAATCCACTTCCGCTACATACAACCATAGCCCATGAGTCCGATAACTTGATCCATAGATCATAGTCCAAGTGGTCATGGGCCTTTTCTCGGTTTCGCTTGAAGACCAGACCTGGAGTTTTGGATTGATAAATAGAATAGACAGCTTCATGAGCGGGGAAAGCCCCATCCAATATTTTACCATCTCAAAATGCATCCTTCAAGGGATAGCCCGAGGTTATGCCTCAATGGAGAAGCTAACACAATTGCTAATAGTTTCTGTGAGCTATCTAACAAGCAGTTTGGCTTGAAATGTTTTTACTTCTCCACACCTGACCTTCGGCATCAAAGCTATGAAGGTTGAGTTCATGGCACTGTTTATAATGCTCCATCAGAAGAACTCAAAAAACAACCAACAGGGCTGGGGCAACCGAGTCCCAAAAACAATGCAAGAGAGCCACTGGAGACCATCAGGTTCAAGAGCCTTATCATGACCTAGAATTTCAAGCTCAAAGAAGGCATGCTCCTAACATTTGGCCATGTTGCTGTGGATTTGTTGAAAGATTAGGTTAGCTATTACAGGCCCAACGTGGGACTCCCTCGAGAAAAAACTTTGGAAGGGGTCTCACAGAAGGGGATATCACGCTGCAATCTATGTAATAAGGCTCACCCTCCTATGGTTTGCTATCTTGTGAAAGAAAGTCGTGCTTTGGTTGCCCTACTTGAGCCATTTGATTGAAATCTCTGAAACCAGAAGAGCTCTTTAGCACCCTATAATATTCAAATTTGACTTCTGATCTCCTGGCCCTCTCATCAGGACCAAGGGTCCCGAACTCCTCCAACAAGTCAGGCTTATAGCCTGAAAGTTCCCAGACTGCTGGCAACTCCAGTTCTTAAGGTCAAACTTTAGCAACTGCAATATCATATATAGTTTAAAACCTGTCCATCCTTTGAGTACATAGGACGACCACAACTGTGGTAACAGGTCATACAAGGCACTCTATCAAACAAAATCCACTCGAAGCTGAAGGGTTTTGGGCCAGTGAGGATGGGCTGAGATTCTAGAATGATCAGAATGTATCCTGAAAGCTTTAAACAATGATTAAAGCTTTCAGAATGTATCCTGAAAGCTTTTAGAATGTATCCTGAAAGCTTTAAACAATGATTAAGGAACAAATCCAACCACATGAGACAAATAAGTGAATCGAAATCCATGCAGTATGAGGGGTATAGACGTGATCATCTTAAAATTGAAAGATTCAATAAGCCTTTGACCTCCACACAATCTACTAACCAGATGCACTAGAAAACCACATTAGATGGTGTATACTTATCATATCTATTCTATTCATCAATCTGCAGGAGTTTCCGTTAGTTATGGTCCTGAATCTTCCTTTACTCGTCATTCAGAACTGCTTCCAACACATCAACAAGGATGAGGGGTTCCTTTACTCATCATTCTACTTTTGTTCCTCTGTATCTTCTTTTTTATGGCATTGATCATACAACTAAAATGTAAGCCATACATATTGGATAAATTTTCACACAAGGGACATCAAGACAGAGAAAAAATCATCCTAGAATTTGGTAATTCTGAGTAATCGGATTTTGTTGAGAAGACAACATTACATACAAGTGAATTTGTGAGGTTCAAACTCTCACATGGATCTACCAGCAGGTATAAAGCTTCTTCGGCAGCTATGGATTACAAGCAAGAATGTGGAATAATTTAATAGACATGAAATAATCCATGAAGATACAAGATCAAGGTAATAAAATATTGCATTGCAAGTCCAAGAACATCTAAAAAACAGAAAATAAGAAGTTGAAAGCACTTTTAAGTTTTAAGCTTTAAGGAGACTAAAACAATATATAATAATATGATAATAATTTAAAGTAGAATAAGAAACACTGAAACCCGGCAATGTGAACTGATGCAGATACAAGTGATGCCAAACAGATTTTGCATCGAGAGGAAGGAAGTACATTCACAAATATTCATGGAAAAAAAAACTAGTTGGAAATCTTACCGATGATTCATCCACTAAAATTGACGGTAATTTCTTCTCAGTCGCAATAACAACCCCATCGGCAGCTGTATAAGGAAACTGTATGTCAAGCTTCATTGGAAACTTAGTTCATTGATAATTATCTCCTCAAAATAAAAGGTTACAACATTCATGTCTTGCAAGTGGCCATTTGATCCTTTAGCCTAAATGATATTGCTTCCTTTGTACATATGACTACCATTAAACGTAAGTGCTTCTAATGAAAATTATACATTCTCATAAGCCTAGATTGAGATTATATATTTTGTTTACAAGTTCAGAAATACCCATGAATATCAGCACAGAAAAGCAAAAAATAAAATGATAAAGTAAGGCCAGTCTAAATTCTAACCCTAAAAATAAAATAAGAATAAAATAACGCCGAGCAGCACCCAGATTAAGAAAATACACCTTCTTTACAAGTTCTGAAATACCCATAAATGCCAGTGCGAAGAAGCAAGCAGAGAAATAACTTCCAAAAAAAATTATTATTCATCTGAATCACTAGCTACGGACGATAAGAAAGTAATAGTGAAAATACAAGAAAATAAACTCGAATAATCTACAATTATCTAATCTCCAGAACTATATAATAGATGGCCACAGCTGCAATCAAGTCAACAATAAAGAGAGAGAAGTCAAACACTAGAGAGAAAGTAGAGACAAAAATAAAGAGAGAGACTGAGGTAAGAGTACCTTTGATTCCTAAAGAGGTTTGGCCTGATCCGACAGCCATTAGGGCATGCTCGATCTGCACCAGTTTCCCCGAAGGGCTATAAAATTGGAAGTATAGAAATTGAAGTCAGAACTCATCAAAAAAAATTGGCGGTCGAAGAACTTGAAAAACATGTAGAAAATCGAAAATATAGAAATCATAGTTGGAATTATAAAAAAACAATGGATATTGAGCAGTATATGAAAAGAAGAAGAGCAAAAAATATATTCACTGCGGGATCCTGGTGTTAGCTCGTACCTGAAGGTAGTGAGAGAAAAAGAGTACTGGCTGTCTCCCATTGCTAGATACGCAGCAAGAGATAGAAAGCGATGAATGTATATAGGATGGGAAGAGAGAGATTAGTTTTTATTATAGTAGAAGGTTGACGTGGGGGTTTTATTTTCGAAGTTATTAGGGTTTTCTTTTGGTTCAAGTCAGGCCTGAGAACGAGTGCCTTTTTTTGTAGTCCTGCGAAAGTGCAATGTACATCTATTCCCTCGGTAAAACACAATTTAGAAGAGGATAGAGTTTCTATAAGGCCTAGGTTTTATGAAAACAACATAAAGCCTCACCTCAAATCCTCATATGAAAAGTTCTATCGGAGACAAAAATCTCTATGATGGCTCTAAAATCAATCTCCAATACCCCAACAATAAGTTTTGAAACTCAAAAAATAGTATTAATTTTGTGGATCAGTGAACACTTATTTTTAAAACAAAATTAACGATCTAGATAATTTATTATAATATACACTACTTTTAAAACTTAGAATTTTTTTTTTTTTTTTCACAACCATAATATTCAAGTTGAGATGATAGAGATAAAGGTTTTCCAATGCTTGACTTGTAAGTTTCAATGAGTTATGAGGCGAGGATTTACCAGTTTTGAAAGGGATGCAACGGCTTTATGAAAACAAAATAAAGCATCACCTCAAATCCGCCTCCAGAAAGCAATTTCGGTAATGAAAATCTTCATTATGGAACAAATCTTGGGGATCTATAAATACTTATTTTTATGATGAAATGGACAGTCTAAATAATTTATTTTTAATTTTAGCCCATTTTGACATTCTTTTACCTATTAAATGATCCTTTATATTGGTTATTTAAGGGTGTGTTTGTCTATGGAAGAGGAGACTGTTACAGCCCCATCTTCCACAAACTATGGAAGCTGCCCTTTTTATATTTTAGCATAGAAGGTGTGGCCTCTACTAAGGCTGGCAA